CTATTGTAAAAAGCAGATGAGAGCAGTTGTGTGAACTGCTCTGCAAAGGGTAAAGTCAAATCAAATGATGGGTATTATAATAGTCTCTAGTGCCAATAATGCCCTACCCAACTCCACGAAACCCATCCCCGGTAGTTTTTGTCCTCACTTGAGTCAGGTGAGAATCAAATTAAATCTGTGATTCCTCTTTCTAGAAAAATGCACATACATAACAGCTTTGCAAACACTTTCAGGAGGTTCCTTAAGGACCCTGTCGTGGGACTGGAAAGCCACATACCAAACTTAAGAGTGCTGGAGGCCCCAAGACCCACCACCTCTCCCAGATTCCTGGATACCAAAGATGAAAGATAGGGCAGAGAAGGCCAATCTCAAAGGAAAGCAATTTCAAGACTACAAGATGAATTTCAGAGCCTTTCCCGAAACGAGACGAGAGGGAAAAAGAAGATGTAGAGTTCTCACTCTTTGGGGAGTAAGAACCCCACTCTTTTTTTCCAGAAAGCATCATGGTATAGAGAAAGAAGACTGGATGGACATCAAAATCTAGGATCTCCTGTCCTACTCTGCCAAGGGCTCCCGGCCATGTTGCGCATGGCATTTCACCCCTCTGAGTCTCGAGGTTCTCACATGGAGATCAGCTTGTCAACAAGGTCTTCCCAGCTCTGGGTGTCTAGGATCTGAGGATGGGTCTGTTCTCACCCTGTTGTGAAGCATAGTTCTGGCTCAGGTTGCATTCAGAAATAAGAGTCAGATGTTGACAGTCAGCATGGTGATAATTCAGAGAGGAGGCCACCATTGTGGCACTGTTCTAAATTAGACGACTTGCAGGACGGAGCAGGAGGGCAGAAGAGCAAAAGCCTGCATGTGAGCAGCTGAGCTCAAGTGACCAGTGAGTCAGCAGTGAGGCCCAGAAGTAGAAGATTCCCCCAAAAGAACATCAAGAGGGGCTGCCACATTATTGGGTAAGCTATGCAGAAATGCCATTGTGTTTGGAGAATTCCCAAAAACTGCGATTTGCCCGTCTGTTTGTGCCTCCTGTTCTCTATCTGGGCCCAGGATTTTCTCTCCATCCTAACCATCACCTCCTGCTTCCTCCTTCGTGATCTGAATTGCAAACAACAGAACCTTAAAACAAGGGCAGCAGACCCTGCAATTGAGAAGAAATTGGGGTACAATGTCAGGGACCCCAAAAGTGAGTTTCAGGATAAATAGATGAAGAGCGGACCCATATCAAAACATCTACACAGACGTGTAAGACAGAAACTAAACCCAGGAAGGGCCTGAGTGAGACCTTCACCAAAGCCACAGCCTATCACTGATGATAGCCTATCACATCAGAGCAGGACCATGGAGAACTTGTCAGCTCCTCATTGCTCAGCAGAGTAACCTGTTGGGTGGCTTCAGGGTCATTTCCTAACTTCAGGGGCAGGGTCTAACTTCTGCAGAAGGATATACAGTATCTCTGGGCCCACCTGGGAGATCTGGGGTTACAGAGACATTAGGCTTTTCTTCCTCTGTTACTTCCTTCTGCATTTGCTCTAGGATAGGAACTGGCATTTTGAGTCCCATGCAACCAACATATGTGAAACTGACAATGTCCCAGAGTGAGTGATCGAAAATATTTATGATTTGTTCCCTCCTACAGGGTCTGAATCATTGGTTTTATTGCATTGTAACTTTGCTCTTTCTGCTATACCATCTTTGTGTGCCCCAAACACAGTAGCGTATCTAGCCTAAGGCATTTGCTCAATAAACATTTGCCGGACTTAAAATCTTGCATTTGTCTGCACAGCTAGAATATGTTTTTTGGCAAGCAGGGACGACGGTATGTTAAATTTTCTCTGTATGCACTTCAAGCTGTACAAACAGGTAGGTGCTCGGTACATATTTGGGAATGAATGGTTGATTAGTTGGCCAAACCTAATAACCCTCCAAGCTGTGTCTGAAAATCTACATGTATACAAACTCTGGAAAATACATACGGGCATTTAGGAGTTCTTTTGGGGCTTCCCCATCCTTGGAGATGGAGGGGGGCAAGGAGTATCACCTGGGATGGTTCCTCAGGGGATACTACACTCTAAATCCAATTGTTTTGAAACCAGTAACTAAAGAATAAACCTTGGACCCAATAAAGACTCCATGAACACACTCATATGAGCATAGGTATGTACTACATAAATATGTATACCATATGCATTTATTACATGTAGGTGTGATTCTGGAATATACTGGATGTGTCAAAGCTGATAACCTTTCATAAACAGCAAATTTTGAGACGAGCGATAATAACAGCAATGCAGGCTTCTGTTCTTTAGTGGCTGTTATCATTAGGACTGATAGCGAGTCAAGAGTTTTGACTAAGACTAGCTAGCAGTATAATTGATCCCTTTTCTCTGGTTCAGTACCTCCTGGGGTGTCAAGAGCGACTGGGGAAGTAGAGTGGCCATTATTTCAATTAAAAGCCATAGGCTGAGAAAAGAAATCACGAGAGGGGGAGAGTAGCCCTTCTCCCACTGAGAGACCTTAGGTAAGTTATGGCACTTTTTGAGCCCCGTTGTGCTCATCTGTAAAATGGGGTTAATACTCCTCACTTCACAGGACCCTCTTAATAAGCACAATGATATAAGTGGGGGAGGGAATTGCCCTGTAAAGTAATAAAAGATATTATTATTCTAGCAATCTGTTAATCACTGAAGACACTGTACCCCAGAATGCATTATAAAATTACTGCCTCGACGCATATTATCCAGGACAGACACTTGACACAGCAGATGAGGGGATCTGTGTGTAAATCGAGTCCTGTTTCAAATACTCCAAGGGAGTTTCCTCAGGCAATGTCAGTGCATCCCGTGAGGGAATGGACATCGTCTAAGGTCTGTTCCATGCATTTTGTTCCTGTATAACGAGGTTTTCTTGAAAGCCAATTTCCTCATGCGTTCTGAGCATGCTCGGAACCGGGATTCCTGAGGTTTCGGCGCAGACCCGGCGCTGGGCTGGAGGACCAGGGTCGGACACCCTGCAGCCCCTCCCCGCCCTCTGGGCGGCTCCTTCCTCTCTGCTCTAGCTCAGGAGGCAGTGGCGCTCGTGCTGTGTCACTTTCGCCTGCCAGAGCCTCCAGCCGCCGCGGAGCAGGCAGCTCCCGCGGCTTCCTCCCTTAGCGCGCGGGCCCATAGGCTCGATAATCCCCCAGCAGCTGAGCCCGAGCTCCGAGCGGGCGGAGCCAGCAAAAGCGTGCGGCCGACCGGGCACCCGGCAGCGGCGCCGGCGGCAGCACCGGGCTGGGCCCGGGCCGGGACCGCCCCGCAGCCTTTGGCCCGCAATGTCTCCACGACGAATTGGGAGGGGGGCGAAGAGCGCGCTGATTTCCTTCCAGGGTCTTTGAAGGCAGCGGCGGGCGCGGGCATGCGCACCCACGGAGTGCCTCGGGCAGGGGTCTACCGGAGCGTGGGGCGGGGACCGGGGGGCGACACGCGCGCGCCCGCGGCTCCTTCCAGCCAGGCCAGATCAGCCCCCAGCGCCACGGAGTAGGAGGCCAGTCTGGGGGGTCTGGGGACCTCGGGGACAAGGAGGGAGGGACCTCGTGTGTCTAACGCATCCCGGCCCGGGACTACTTCGCGAACCGGGCGCACACGCAGCCCTAGGGTATCCCCCGGCCCGGAGCCGCATGACCCTCTCTCTCCAAGTAACGCGGCCGAGGGCGCACGGACACACACACACAGGACTACGAGCCCAACTGGGATCACCAGGGTGCTGTACCGATCTCCACCGGAATCGGGGCCCACGCGCGTCCCCACTACGCTGCGGTCTGCGGTCCCCGCCCCACACACATGTCGGAGCGGTGTGTACACACACAAACAGCTGGGCGGGGGGAGGCGACGCCTCACTCCTGGGGGTGGGGGAACACACTAGGAGCCGCCAGCCATCCCTCTCCTTTACACACCGCACCCTTTCCCTGCTCACGGCTGCCCCCCAACCCCAACCCTGCAAACTCCAGGAAACCAAACAGCCAACGCCGCCCAGATGACGGGCTCGGGCCCCCGCAGGTCTTTTAACGTCAAAGGAAAGACATACCCAACTCAGACGCGCGGTCCCCGGGACACCTCCTCCAGAAGCACTCGGGTTCGGGCACAAGGCCCTCGGGGGCCGCAGACCGAGCCCCCGCCCCCTGCCCACCCTCCCCCACAACTGCCGTCCGGGACAGTCACCTGCTGTTCATCCTGAAGAACCCGAGCTGGAGCCCACCCCGCCTCCGTTCGGGTCTCTTGCCACCGCCAGCCCAGCTTTTCAGAGCCTGTCAACTTAACCCCCGCTCCGCCGGGTGGATCTAAACCCCAGGCCCAATTACACCGCGGTGACAGGAATAATAATAACATTGTACAAAAAAAGCCAACGGGATCACCACCGTGGGGAATGTCCAAAGCTGCGACCGCAACGGATCCATCGATTCGGTTTTCCTCCTCTGCTCCCATCCCCCGCGCCCCCCGCGGCCCGCGGGGCTCACCGTGGGACTGAGGGAAGGTGCAGCCTGTCTAGACGACAGACATCCCCGAACCCGCGGGGACCGGCGCGGACACACTCAAACACGGCTGCTGCCACAGACACAATCAATCACCAGAGGAGGGAGGGGCAGCGTGGAGACACGCTCTCGGGGTCCCTCCCTACACAAGGGCAGCGGCCTCCCGCCGGGAGCGGCCGCCGGGAGCAGCGCTCCCTACCTCGGTGGAGCGCGGTCAGACAGCTGCAAGTTTGGCTGCCACCAAACCAACTGCTAGATGCAGCAAATGCGGGCTTCACAACAAAAGGGAGAGGAATCACGCTCGCTCGCTCTCTCCCCCCGGTCGGAACACGGCACATGACAGCGGCTACACAGCGCGGCAAAAACGCCAGCCCGGCTCCGGCCGTGAGCCCCCCCAGAACCCTCCTCCCCACCGGAGCACCAGGGCTACGACTCCCCATGGGGCGGGGCACCCGGCAGGGAAGGGGCAAACCTCGGGAGAGGCGAGATGGTGGAGTGCGGTCCTCGACAGAGAGGGGCACCGCGGATGAGTGCGGACGCCTGGCTGCCCCCCGGCTCAGGGAAGGGAAAGGGGTAATTGTTTGGGGGCCGTTTCCCCGGATTTATCTATAAGCAAGCGCTCGTCACGCAGCCCTCCTCCCGGGTCCCCGATGCTATCGGCAAGCTGAGGTGACCAAAAGAGGGGGGCGGACGGGGAGGGATGCTCACCTCGGGGTTCCTCTGGCCGCCGCTCCGAGCCCGAGTCAGAGGTGGGGGAAGGGGGCAGGGAAGGGGAAGGGAGGAGGCTCGGGAGAGCCGACTCCTGGCGCGAGTTCCGCGCGTCCCGGCTGCCGAGGGGCTCGGGCGCCCCAGCGCACAGACCTAGCCGAGAGAGGAGGGAGGGAGGGAGGGAAGGGAATGAGGGAGGGAGGGGCGGGTGGAGGGGGAGGGAGTAGAGGAAGGAAAAAAATATATATCCCTGCTCTGACACAGGGAAAGAGAATGTAGGAGAGTGACGTCCAGGCCCCGCCCTCCCCTCCGGCCACGTGCAAAGACTTGAAAGGGAAGAGGACCGCGGGAAGCCTGCTGGGTAATGTAGTTCGCCTTTCTTTCCGGGGATGGCGGGCCTTGGAGAGCGCGGCGCTACGGGAACTCGGGGGATGCCGCCCAAGCAGCTGAGACGTCCCGGTCTAGCTGCACCGAAACCCGCACCCAACGCTCCCTCCCCCATGACGCTTTTGCGGCCCTGGATGGGGACCTCTGCGTTGGGAAAACTGTGGGCTCAGGCGCGGTCCAAGCTAGCTGGGAAACGTTTGGTTTTAGGGGCAGTAATGCTTTAAGGATAAGGACTTCCGTGCTTTAAGTGTAAACTCTGTCCTAATGGCAGATAAAAGGGAGCTTTGTGTATACACTGACCGGCCCAAGTGGCATTATTAATGCTGCATTAAATGCTACCGTCTGTTATTGAGATGCATATGTTATAATTAACATTTGAACATCTCTGAGGCAGGGGCGGGATGTTTCAATTAGATATGCACTTTGCAACCAATTAATTTTCCATTGGCCATGCTGTGGGCTGGGACGGGCGGATGTGGTAGCTGGAAGAAGAATGCAATGGAAAATCTAGTAAATCTCTTAATCAGATCACTAATGTTTTCAGAGATCTACTAGGTGCCCAGCACTGATCTTGGCACAGGAGAAATGTACAATGCTGTTCACCCCTCCAAGCAAGGGGGTTATAAACTCATCGAAGGAACTTTGTGACACAGAATAACTGCCATAGAAATTCATTTATTAATTCAGAGGACATTTCATGGTTAGTTTCTACAGACGGGACACATCTGGGAATGCCAAGACAAGTAAGACCCTCAGTCCCTGCCCTCAAGCTTCAAGTCTAGTGTAAGGACTACAGTCAGTGAAAGTACAGGGGATAAATCAACACGTAACATAGGGATAAGTGTAAAGTGCTAGGGAACCCTCAGATGTAGCAGTCAACCAGGACGGAGTGTGGATGGGGGTGGGAGAGGGTCAGGGAAGGCTTCCTGGAGGAGGTTTTTCACAAAAGCAAAGGAAGCAGTAGTCATCTGACTAAGGCTACAGGGTACAAAGGCTCGAAATGAGAGAGAAGACAATGAGTTTTGAAAGTCCCAGCAATTTGGCAGGGAGGAAGGGGCAGATTGATGGGGGGACGTTGGTAGAGGGTGAGTCTAGAGGGCAGAAGGAGTCTGGGACAGCTTCTCACTGGAGGTGGGGCATGAAGTGGACCTTGAAGGATGGGTGGGATTTCATTTTGTGTGGAGAGTTTGTGTTCCAGCCTTGAGGCTCAGCATGAGCCAAACCATGGAAGGAAAGCAAAGCAGTGTCCAGTCCTGTCCTGTAGAGTAGCTCATTTGACTCTTGTACCAAAGGGCACATGGGCATGTCATCCCCTGCCTTCTAGAGGGAAGCAGCAGGCCACAGCCCTGCATCGGTAAGTGGCAGAGTGGGTACTGGAAGTCAGTTGTCTGGGTGCCAGGCCCAGTTCCCCCAACCCCAAAGGGACATATTTAAGCATACCTGACTCTTCCCGCTGCCCCTCTTAGAATCTATGTCTCATTGGCTCAGCAATGTGTTATTTTTATGCTTCAACATCTGGATGGTTTTCTGGGTTTACAAAATATGTAACAAGTACCCGAGTCTATCCCCTCAGCAGATTCCCGTTTACCTACCCTTTGTTGTCAATGCTGTTTGCACATTGTGTGAGAGGCATGCCACCTACAAGGAAACAAGAATGGAATTGTCTGGGTCTTGGTTTTGCTTTTGCTTTCAATAACACCCCCAGAGGTGAGAGCAGGATCCCCCCCCCCAGAGGTAAGGAGAGGCTGAGCTAGGAGCAGAGTGCAAAACATCTTGTGGGGAGGACATGCCTCTCTTTGCGGTGTGCCTGGGGTGAGTGGGCAAGTGAGAACAGCACAGACTGAGAGTCACATCCCAGATGTGATATTCCTGGATCTGTGACCTTGGGCAGCTTACCTGACCTTCACAAGGGTGACCTTGGGCAGCTTAGTCAACACCTTTTCTTGGTTTTTCTTGGTGAGAACCAATGGCAATAATGCATATACACTGGCTCTGTCACATGGCAAATGCTCAGTGATGGTCAATTCCTGTCCTTGTCCTGGGGTCTTTCTGGGACAGGAGAATGATCCCTGAATTTTCCTTTCTGCAGCGTCAGGCCAGCAGAGCTGGTGCTGCAGGGAGGATCCCCCGGGGTGACTCATCTTCATGTGTGAGGTTAGGTTTGTTGTCAAGGAAGCTTTGCCTGGCTTTAGTCCTCACCTCCTGCTGGCCCAGCTCCCAACCCTCACCAGCTGACCATGGTTATGCCCTTCCCCTCCACACCCTCCTGCCCAAGGACCCCCATAGAGTGTCCCCACCCAAGGCAGTGTCCTGGGCTCCCACATTGCTTCTCCCTGCCTATTAAAATTTACCTCCTACTCTCCAGATCCTTAGAGCCTGGCTCTCTGCTTTCCCTCCAGTCTAATACCTTCACTAATTTATGACCAGATAGCCTTTTCACTATCTTGATATTCTTATCAAGAGCTCTCTGAAATGGCCTCTCATGATGGGGGTTCTTGGCTGGAATGGGGATCTTTGAGAGTAAGGCTTTGTGGCTCCCTCAGACCCACATTTCCAGTGTCGGAGGCCTGGGGCTTACTTTGTTCCTCATTTAGTGCCCGTTTTTATCTGTTCTGTAATTGGTCTTATCCCTCCCCTGCATGCAGGCTTAGAGCGGAGGAGCTGCTGGGTGCTGAGTCAATGAGCTTACACTGAAATTGTTTTAATTGTGGCAGATTGGAGTTGCCAAGAGTTGCTTTGTCTGATTTGTCGCCACATAGCCAAGAAATTAAGCACCGGAATGTTTCTCTCTGTCTTAAGCAGTTGCTTTTCCTAATCCATACTTTGCTAAGATACTAGCAAAAACATATATTTCTCCTTTTTCCCTGTTCCTTCTCCTTCCTCCTACCAGCCTTTCTTTCCTCCGTCAGTCAACACGATTATCGCAGGCCTGGTGGAAGCCCACCAGCGTACTGGGAGAGAAGTTACCTGCCTTCAGGAGCTGAGGAGACCAGGATGGCACCCATGAGATAACAGGAAAACTGACCCAAGAGCTACACTGTGAGGGTGATTTTAAACGAACAAAGGATTCCTAGAAAGCTGGAATGGTCAGAGAAGGCTTCTGGGAGGAAAGTGAAACTGGATCCATTTATAACTTTCCACAGGGAGAAGGTCAGCAGTGGTCTACATCCCAGTTTTGTAGCACTGGCCTAGGAGGCATTGCAGAAGTAGTGTCTCCAGGTGGACACTAGAGAGTGGGCTTATCAGGCATCAGTTTGGTGACCACCGACCCTGCAGAAGGAAGGAAGTTACCGGTCTCTAGTATCTATGCTCTGTTACTGTGGTGTTGGCCTAGAGAGATAATGCCTTGATAGAACCAGGTTACATTTCACCCAGGCCTCATCTCAGCTTCCACTACACAACCCCAAAGACCCATGCCTGAAAGGCAGGTGGAAAGTGATCCTCTAGGGTTGAAGCTCATGGTGGAGGAAGGGACATCAATAGAGAATGATGAGCTTAAGGAAAGCAGAAGCCAAGTAAGAATAAAACAACAGATATTTTATTGGGAGCATGCTATGCATGAGGCATTGCAATGCACTATGGGGAACTGTGTGAAACCGGGTTCCAGGTTCCACCTGACCCTACCTTGTGTGTGATATTTTCTCTCTTTGGGCCTCAGTTTTCACACTTATAAAAATGGGAGGGTTAGACTCTGCAATCTCTCAAATTATTTCCCAACCTGAAGTTTCCCTACAAGAAGTTTACAATCCAACAGGCAAAGGAAGCTATAAAATCAAGCAGCCAAAGCATGAATTTTAAGCTGTTTAATTCTAGCAGAGCAGGAAGGGTTTGTAATATTCATTAAACGAAGCCCTGAAGTCCATGAAGGAACAGAAGAAAACAGATTTTATCTTGCAAGATTCAAGGACAGTAAGTGAAGCCCATGAGTAGTCAGGCATTCCTTAAGTCCCTGAGAGTTCAAGATCAGAGATCAGACTTCACCAATCAGTGGCATGAGCGCCTCATCAATGGATGGCCTTGTGCATGATGAGGACCTGGGCAAAGATACACCCCCACATCTCTGCAAGAGACAAGTTTCATTGTCAGGGTACACTCTAGAGAAACTGTGCCACCCTCACCTGGGAGGGGTAACCAGGCTTATTGAAAGAGGGGTAGACACCTGATCCAAGGGATTCCAGGCCATTGGCTATAGGCTAGGACTTAAGTGTCCCTGGCTTTAGCAGACTGAGCCAATCAGATTCCCTCTTGCAAGAATCTGCAGGAAAAGGCTGAGAGACTTCTGCTCATTGGTGACTGTTCCTCAGTCAAGGGCGGGTGGGGGAAAGGGGCTTGTGGCCTTGGTGAGCCAGGTGTCAGATGAGTAAGCAGGGGAGGGTGGCCCAAGGGGGAAAGGAGGGAGAGGGAGAGAGAGAGGGGTCTAGAGCAGTTTTAGTTCCTAACTTTCCAATTCTGTCACAAGGTGATCTTAGATTCTTGATATCTCTACATAGTAATTCCCTTTAATTTGTGCTAGCTTGAGTGGGTTTCTGGTCTTTGTAATCCAAAGACTCACACCTAGAACATCCTGAAAGAGAGGAAATGCAGAGGAAGGTGTTTCGGCCATTCCAATTCGTGCCTTTCCTGAAGATGCCCTTCCATTTTCTATCCTAGATGCCTTCCTTTCCAGCTAGTTTATAACTCCTCTCCTCAACCTTATTCTAAAATGGCTGCAAAAATAATTTGGTCATGAACCTTCCACAACCTTTAAATCTCCTTTTCAAAGAACAATAGTTAATCTATGAATTGAGCAATTACTATTGGCCAGGTAACAAGTGAAACACTTTCTGTGCTTTATCTCATTTAGTGGACCCAGCAGCTTTTACAGTGGAAGGAACTGAGGCTAGGAGGGGTGACGTAACTTGCCCAGGGGCACACAGCCAGCAAGCAGGTGGTGGTACACACAGAGCCACTGAGCTTAACCATGTTCCTTTATCCCCAAATATCAGGATCCACCTTCTCTAAGCCTCTATCCAGCGCCTGTCTTCTATCTGAAGGAACCGCCCTGTCTTCCTCACTGATATATTTATAATGGGCTGGGTTTTTTTCTTTCAAATTGAGACTTCAGAGATGTGTGTTCATTTGTTTGTATATATCAGATGCCCCAAATGATTCTATGCCATAGGAGTGTGGCCTTTGTTCATATAACTCATCAGTCAAAAAAGTGTTTTGGGCCGGCCGAGTGGCGCGTTGGTTAAGA